TCGTGTTCAAACCAAGCACTCTCTAACCGAGAACTCACACACGTCCCACCGGGTATCAAATCACTGATTTCGAAGCCGAGCATCTTAAAGTCGAACACTATAATGAAACAATCATACCACGCTTAAATCACCGAAGGAATCGCGACATTGGCCCCCTCGGCCAAGTAAGAAGTCGGTTTATTTTAACCCATTCGTAAAAGGGAGAAATTTCATTAATTATGGCCGATCAAAATGGCTACCTCTCGGCCAAGTAAGGAGTTGGTTATTTTAACACCCATTCGTAAAAGGAAAAGAAATTTCATTAATTATGGCAGATCAAAACGGCTACTTACAAAAAACACAAAAGCAGTCTATGCACTAACACTAAAGGCCGAGCTTACAAAAAGGCGCTGACGGCCCGGTTACAAAAAACAACCTACCCTAGCTTCATTACAAAGTCTGATCCCTATTTAGCCGCTTGCTCCGTTGGATTCCCGTCGTTGACTACATCTATAACCAGGTCCCCCTCCTCGGTTGACTGCCCAGGAGCCCGGCTAGACACACCTTGACAGGGAGCTTCGGCATCCGGTTGAGCCCCTTGAGGAAACTCAGCATAGCTCATAAACTTACCACCTAGGAAGTCTCGGCTAACATCAAACTGAAAGTCAGCCAGGACATCACAAAACTGGTAAGCTTGTCGAACGGCGTGCTGGAAGCTGGCATCGTGCTGGGAGAGGATTTGCTCGGTTGCTTCGGCCTCGAACTGCACAGCCGCCTCTTTCAGTCGGGTGATCTCACTTGCAGCAGCGGCAGCTTCGGCCTTCATCTTTTGCATGGCCAACTTCAGGTCGTCGGCCTCCCTACGATAGGAGTCAGCCATCTTCTTCAACTCCTCGGCCGATTCTGTTGCCTTGGCGTTAGCACTCAAGGCATCCTTCACCGTCGCTTCGGCATCCTTCAAGCGGGTTTGGAGCCTCTCGGCCGAGACCGCCGACCTCATCATTACATGTTTTGCCACGAGGGAGGTCCGAGCATTAAGCTCACAGAAGAGCTTATATTCGGCCTCTATTGACATTCCCTCTAAGTATTGGAGTCCCCCTCCGGTGGTAAGGTCAAGACTGACCAAATTCTCGACCTGCACGTCCGAGGCCAAGAAGTTAGACCCCGCAACAACAGCGGGAATGGCGAAGGCCCCGCACCCTGCCTGCTCCAATGATAATTGCTTTGGTCGCTTGGATGAGGAGCTCGGACGTTCCGGCTCTATATTTTGTTCTGCAGCACGCACCCGAGACGTACTACCCTTTTTCTTGGGGTCGGCCAAGGGAATTAGCACTTGAGCAGGCTTATCTCGCGATACCTTGAGGGCCGACCTCGCCGGCGGAACCTTCCTGCTTTCTTTGGCTTCCTTCTCCCTCTTGGCGAGCATAGCTGTAACGTCTAACTTGCCTCCGGCCATTAAACCTGCAACAAAGCAAACCTTAACATCAATTCAAAACACTGCTAAACTACCGAAACCTAACATACATACCTAGCAAAGCCATCTCAAAATGAGACGTCTCAAAAATGTCCAATAGGCCCCGACAGGCAAACCCTTCGGCAACTCGTCTAGGAGGTTGACGATCTCTCTGTCCTCGGCCGGGAGCTTTGATAGGGGGATCGCCTCAAAACGCGTTGGCCGCCTCGTCCAATAAAAGGGGAATAACAGAGAGTTCTCTTGATCATAGAAGCAATCGTTCATTTCCGATCCCCACCGAAATTTAAAAAACCCACTTTTAAATCCCTTATAAGAAGAGGTGAACGCCCGAAGAAAACCACGCTTCGGTACTCGGGCTAGCGAAACCCACTTCACCGGTTTGCTCGGACGACATATATAGTAATACAAGAAAGCTAACGACCGAGGATTGAGGCCAAGGCACAAACACAAGTCCTGAAATGCTTGCATGGCTGCCCAAGCGTTCAGATGCAGTTGGGTCGGCGCCACGTTCAATGTTCGGAGAACTCCCATTTGAAAGTCGTCGAACGGGAGCTCTACGCCGAGGTCCTCGAACCAACACATATATACATAGAAGTAGTCGTGTTCATCGGGCTCCGATTCCAAGAACACAAAATCAGTGTTCGGCCCGTCATCTTCGCACGCCTCGGCAAGAAGTGGAAACTCCCCCTCACCACTCCCGAAACATTTTTCTAATGACACAAAGGTGTCCAATAACGACTGGTCAGACAGCTTCGAGAAATATATCCCGACCTCTCCGTCCACCCATTCATATCCGGGAATCTCAACCGTGCCATAATCAATTTTGGCCTTGGCCCGACCACTAGGCCCAACCACGCCTTTACCCCGATCATCCTCAATAGCCCCTACCTCGTCTCCACTGCCTTCAACGCCACCGACCTCGGCAATTAGGCCCTGTTGATCATTTTCGCCGAGGCCTCTACAATCCACCTTGATAGCCCGTGCCAACGCGAAACCCTACGACATCGACGGCGACACCTCTACAACCTCGTCCCCACTATCGCTAGGCTCGGGATGATCGGAGGGGAACACCACTTCACATTGTAAGGGAGGCAGCCTCGATATCTCACTTGAACCCGACCCCTCTTGATCAGACGCAGCGGCCGACGCCTCTGAAGATGACCAGCTCTTGGCTGAGGAGTAACCCCTATCCATTTATTACCACAAAATAAAAAAAATACAAAATTATACCTTTGATCGGTAAGCTCGGCTAAAACCTTGAACTCAAAGACCTCAGAGAATTTACAGCAAGTGAATTCTCAAAACACCCCCCCTATTTATAGGCAAGGTAAAAGGGGGAGGTGAAAAGACGCCCCGGAACCACAGCCGTTTGATCTAAACCATCCAACGGTCCAGATTAACTAACCGTTGGGTCCGTAACCTCTAGGGCCAACGTGGCACTCAACAATCACCTAGGTCTCGGCCTTTGACCCCAACGTTCACCTTACAATCATCGAGGTCTCGACCATTATCTCCAACAGGTAAGGTCTCGGCCATTATCTCCAACAGGTAAGGTCTCGGCCTTTGACCCCAACGTTCACCTTACAATCATCGAGGTCTCGGCCATTGTCTCCAACAGGTAAGGTCTCGGCCATTATCTCCAACAGGTAAGGTCTCGGCCTTTGACCCCAACGTTCACCTTACAATCATCGAGGTCTCGGCCATTGTCTCCAACAGGTAAGGTCTCGGCCATTATCTCCAACAGGTAAGGTCTCGGCCAAGAACCAACGATCACCGAAGTCTCGACCTTTGTCCTCAACAACCAAGGTCTAGACGAAGACCCAATACTCGAGGCCTCGACACAAACCTCCGGTCACGCTCTGCCTTAAAACACCGCCTAGTAGTGGTCAAACTCATCCGTTATACTGAAGTCTTGGAGACGACCCCGTTAGACGGACATCTTACCACCAAGGAGCCATTACCTAGCCTTCCGGGTCGAACCATAATATCAAATACCTTTAAATCGTTTTCGTCTTTGGCATCCTCAACGCTGCGGGGGTTGTATACCATATGGGCCCGAGACCGAGTCGACCGACCCGACTGAGCCAACCGAACACCCGTATCCAAGGACGACCAACCCAGTAACCGACCACACCGACCACTCGTGCAATAGAATGGGTCGGTGTGCTCGGCCCATCCTCAGAACTCCTCCAACACGATTACGAAAGGATTAATTTAAGAGTTAAACCGGATTAACCCCCTAACTTTCCAGGGCCCAACTCCTAATCACGGCCCAATAAGGAACACTATAAATAGACCCCCTTCGAGGTATGTAATTAACTTTCAACTACCGCATTTATTACGCCGAGCACTTACTTGAGCGTTGGAGTGTCTTTGCAGGCATACCCCCCCTCATATCAGACTACCCGGATTGGAACGAGCAGACCGAGACCCAGGATCAGACCCGCTACAACAAGGATAATTGGAGTGTGTCCTAACACAGGAACATATATTGTACACGTGTCACAATCTAATTTATTTTTATAAATCTAACGCGCGGTTTAAATGCATTAAGTTACCATAACTTTCATATCTTAAAGGTAGAGAATCTGAATCCCAATCTTATACACTTTAACAACCTTATCACCAAGACGTGCCTCATGGTCGAACATATTTCTTCCTATAACCACTCACAACTGATATTAATATTCCACGATCGAAGTTCTCCGGCTTCAAGAATCGCATTCACGCTAATTTCACACTATCTCATTAAAATTAATATTAATATTAATTTTAAAGTTTGTAATTAATAAAATAATTATTTTAAATTTAAAATAAATTTATTAATAAATTAACCTTTTAAAATATCTTAAAATATATATAATAACTTTTTAAATATCACCGGTTTAAATAGTTCACACTTATTTACCTAGCAGGTTCATATGTATTATTGGTAGATACCATCTCAACACATGTTCATTTATTACAAGAGTTTCTATTATTCATGACATGGTATTGATCAAACATTAGAGTTTTGTAAGATCAATAACTTTTTTTCCCTAGTACTTTGTGATCTTTATGTTTAATCCATCTGGTGCCAACACTCTCGGAAATTTTGCTAGCTTTTTGTTTCCCTTTGCTTCCTCCCACCTAAAAAAAGAAAAGAAGAAGACAAACTTTTAGCTAAGAGGGAAACTATCCAAATTTAGATCACTTTCTAGGATGCAAAAATGGGAGGGAAACGAAAATAAGAAGAAGAAAAAATGTTCAATCAAGGGATATTGAACCACTTGCAAGGAACTTATCTGATCAAGTGAGTCAAATTGAGACACACACAAAAGATCCTATATAATTAAAATTGCATTATTTCACAATTTATATAGTCACTCCCAATTATGACCAAGATTATACAGCAAGAGACCTCTCTAATAACCACTTGGCAATCCTTTAATTTGAATATCATTACTCTAACTAAATTTAAAACTATAGCTTTACTCAACATTGAAAAATTAGGATATAAGATAATAGAAAAAGGAAAAAGAAAAAGAAATTATATTAAAAACTCTACCTGTATCTAGTCACAAAGTAGTGAATGAAAAGACTGACTTTAAGCATGCCCCATTCCTTTCCAGGACACACCCTACCTCCTGCTCCAAATAGCATGTTGTGATTATGAGACTCCAACCCTTTCTCCTACATTACATCATATTTTATATTCAGTGTCAAAGTGTTGTCATTATAACACAAGAAGAATTTTAAGGTTTAATATGTTATTATGAAGCAACTGACCTGCAGCCATCTCCATGGATTAAAAGTAAAAGGTTCTTGATAGAGTACAGGATCAAAGTTAGTCTCCCTTGTGTATACATAAACTCTCCATCCCTTGGGAATGTTAAACCCTAACAAGTGATATATAGACATAATCAATGTTAGCTAATTGAAATTAAAATCCATGTGTCAAAAAAATTAATTGAAGATCTTACTAATCGATTTGATTTAAATTTGAAAACGTACCATTCAATTCTATATCATTAGTGGTCCTCCTCATCACTCCAGCAACAACACTTGCCAATCTCATGGTTTCAAGTATTACCTGCACACAAAAGAATATTTTCATATTTTTTATACCTTTGAAAATTTGGGTACGTATGCAATGAATTGAAATTTTATAAGGTCTTCATTTCATTTTCATTCTAAAACTATAGTCCATATAGATAAAAGTATACCGCACGAGTTAGCCTCATATTCTTGTAGTCATCCCAAGTGATCTGTTCCTCGGGCATTTTCTTTTGTTTGATTGCAAAATGCTCTTCCTGTGGAATATTTTAATTAGATAAAATCATAAAACAAGTACTTAAAATTTAAACCATGGTTTTAATAGCAAAGAGGATAATCAGATAGAAAGTCATAACATACCCTTATTTCCTGAAGAATGCTTGGGTTATCATGTAGGTATTTGATAGCCATCATAGTAGTAGTTGATACCGTTTCATAACCTGAATACAAGATTGTGATGATTTGCTCAATTATTTCATCATCATCTAGTTTGTGTCCACCATTCTCAGTTCTCATAAGTTGATCAAGAATGTCACCATGAGTAGCCGAAGAAGCTCTTCTCTTGGCTAAGAGCTCTTTTAGCATTGGAATCGCTTTTTCCCTAGCCTGTAATAAACGAAAGTGCTCCAATGTGAACTTTAAGTGAAATAAAAGAAAAAGTAGTTGAGTTTTAAATTGCGGCCACAGTTAAAGGTTTTTTTTTTAATGATCTTTAATATTATGAAAAGTTGCAAATGAATGTGAGTAATGTAATTCCAATACAACATTGGAAACTCTAAATACGTTGAGGTTGAAATCAATATAAGAAATTTAACATATAGTAATATAAAATGTTTAAATTTATTTGATATATATTTACACATAATTATAATGCTAATTTTAAATAAGATATAATAATATATATTATATATTATTATAACTTACGTTTACAATTTTTAACAATATATATTCACGTATGTTATATTTATAATATAAGTAAAAGTACTTTTTAATGATCAATATTGTGTCATTATATAAAATGTGTTATTATATAATAGTTTTTTTTATTCAATAGTAATTATAGTCTTAAACCATTCCTTAATACCTTGAAAATATGTAAGTATTCAAGACATAGATACCTTTAGTCCCCGATAATAATTGGTTCCTGGGAATTTAATTGGCAAGGATATTGTTGCTATTGCCATCTTATCAAATGTGGCTTTAAAGGACTCAAGGAAAGAGTTTGGCTCATTTTCTACAACCGCTTTCAAGGAAATAAAGAATGACATCTGAATAGAAAAAAATAAATCAAAGAATGGTTTCAAAACATTAGACCAATGTAGGGTTTAATAAACTCAAGACTTATATGATTATTACGTACCTCAACAGTTTTTTCTTGAAGATCAATTATTTTACCATCCCAATTGTCAAGGTAAGACCTCATGAACTCATCAACTTCTGGCACAAGTCGATCCTTAACTGAAGTTGGACCAATGAGAGATAATAGTGAGCCTCTAATTCGTTTATGTGTAGCACCATGAACCTCAGCAATGTTAGTCCCTAGAATGTTCCTCATGGAGTCGGGGTAGCCAGGAACTAGGCCTTTTGCTTCATTCACGAGTATGTATCTATTGGCATCAGGATCCATGCTAACAACAATAGGAGACCCTAATGCGTGAGTTTTGAAAAGATTTCCATATCTGCAAAGAAGACATACGCCAACAGGTTTCACTCTATCAAATATATTTAATATCGAATTTTGATTAAAAGTTCAATTATAAAAATAGTAAATATAATGCAACTATTTTCAATTATAAGGAAAAAAAATAATTAACCACGATTATAATGTTGTTGAAATTCGTATATATATAAAAAATGAAATTAGCATAGTAGACATTTCCATCCACTCTGTAATAATGAAAGTTGTAATAATATCTTCTGCAACTATAATTTGTCTTTTAAATTAAGTATTAGAAAAAAGAACATCTTGACGTTTCTATTGTATATGATATTATTACATAATAATTGACATTGATAATTTAAAAATTATATTTAATTATTGTATGTATATATCAATGATTTTATTATGGGAATACATTTTACTAAATTATCAGTTAAAAATAATAAATAATATAGTCATTACTATTAATTTATAAACAACAACAACAAACAATATTAATATTAATTGTAAGAGATTAATCGATAGTTTGAAATTACATTTAATTGGTATATATATATAT